CACACACCTGCTGCCGTCCAACTAAGCTCAGGAGTAGAGCATCCACACAGTATCTACCGCATTTAGTGCTTGGAAAAACTTACGACAGAGACAACAGAGGGAGAGAGAAAGAGGTTGAGCCTGGGTCGTCCTATTTGTTCTATTAAAAATTTTACAGCACTTTGCAACACAATTAGGTGATATAAGTGCCAGAGATTAGAAGTGTTACAAGTGAGTAACAAACACACAAAAAAAGGAGGAGAGTTAAGGACAATAGATGTTTGACGAGAAAGGAAGGAGCGAATACAAACAGAGCACCCGCCAACCACAAACTGGGCTGTCCAGGATTGCCCAAAAACATCTGCTAGTCCAGGTAACGGTAAAGAATTGGAAAAACGGTGAAAAAAAGGAGACGAAAATGAAATATCACTAATCTCAGACGCATGATAAAAATAATTTAATTTTCAAAGCCCGTCATTTCATTAGATAATGGGACACTATCTACTAGTGTACGGAGGGTCTATTTACAACAGTCCTCTACTGACTGGAGGGAAGAGATAGAGAGAAAGGGAGAGAGGATATTACACAAAAGAAAAATTCAGGACTTGAGAGAGAGGGGTGAAGGGGTAAAGGGATGAATTGAAAGAAAGGAATGAAAAGAGAGAGAGAGAGAGAGAGAGAGAGAGAGAGAGAGAGAGAGAGAGAGAGACAGACAGACAGACAGACAGACAGACAGACAGACAGACAGACAGACAGAAAGAGAGAGAGAGAAAGAGAGAGAAAGAAAGAAAGAGAGAGAGACAAAAAGAGAGAGAGAGAGCCAATGCATTGAGAACAATAACCATGAAAATGCTCAGATAGGAAATTGTTTTAGTAAGTCGCGACCTTAGTGCTTCCTTGTCATATCTCCATTTTTAATAACAGTGAAAACAGTTCATAACAAAGAGTGAACGCTAACAGATTCAGCCTGCAGCAGACGATCTCCTGTGTTTTGACGCAGAGCCCACTTATCTATTGCTCTCTTTTCTTTGCATCACTGTCCTCTAGTCTTCCCCCCCGACTGCTTACATTTCAACCCTTTTTCTGGTATCAAAGAATAGTATTTTGTATTCTGAACATTTCTGCATGCCACACATGGGGTTTTATCAAATAAAGATGCTTCTTTATTAATTTTTTGTGACACCACCCGTGTGGTCATGAAACGGTCACAAATTATTTGCGTTAAGAAAAAGTCACATTTTCAATGTAAAAAAAAAAAAATGGAAATATGACAAGAAAGCATTGAGGTCGCGAAGTGTTTTACGGCACTTGCAACACAATAAGGTCAAACAAAAGCTAAAGATTAGAGGTGTTATGAGAGAGTAACAAATACAAACAAGACGGAGGAGAGATAAGGACGACAAACGTTAGATAGGAAAGAAGGAGCAAACCACACCAGAGAACCTGTTTTCAGATAGGAAAGCTCAGAAATAGAAAACAAAAAAATCAAAAAGAAATCATTATTAGGACTTCATCACACAACATGTTGACAAATCACACTAAAGAATCTTTTCGAATAGCTAGTATGCAGCCCTCCATTCCAATGATTTCATGACTTAAATGTTCGGTATTGTGTGACAGTAACAACCAATTATCTGTCTTTAAAAAAATCCAATTCACCCTGCATTGCCACGGCAGTGTACTTGTGTCCACCTGGCTTGCTGCGAGCCAAGGGAAAAAAAATCGGTCTGAACTCGACACACTAACCTTAGACATGCATCGTGCCCAAACTATTTACGCTATCAATATAAAATTTCACTTGGATTTTACTTTAAATGTTCTTTTAATATTATTAGAGAGAAAGATGAAGGAAAGAGCAGAGAAAATATCATATTCTTTGTTCGACTTCAACTCATCGCCACTCGATTTAGCCATAGCAACTTATAGTAAATCTATGGTCTAGACCTAGAATCTAGCTTTTCTTCGAAGTTTTCAAGGCACTAAAATCAATCCGATCGCCTTGTTTTTCTATATTTACACTTACTTTTCACTTTCTTTGCCGCTTAGGCCTAAAACAAAACAAAAAATATGGTTCATGTATTTTAATCAACACAAAAATAGCCGTGGCACTGTTGTTGTTTGTGGCTGTTTTTTTCTTCTTCTCGCCCATGAAGATTTCAATTCTCGCTTTCTCGCCATGATTTGTGGTGACAAAACAACAAAACGAACTCGTACTCGGCGAAAAACTGGATCGAAACAAGCTAGCAAAAGTTTTTATAAGCTACAAGTGACCTATTTCCAATAGAAACATGGATAAGTGGTTCGGACTAGATTTTGTGGACTGGTATTTTGCTACGACTATTCTCGTAGTTCGGTGAACGGAAGCGTGCTACAGCTACGAACATACTCGTAGCTCAGGTGCAATGGGTTAAATCTAGGTGATTCAACATCCCCACCAACACAATTTAAATCATTTAGGAGGCGGGATTCCAACCTGGGAAGAGAGGGATACAACATCCCACAAAAAAGACAGAGGCACTCTATAAAAATTCGCCCCCCCCGGGAATCGAACTCGGGTCTGCTGCATGCAACAGCAATAAATTAAAATGCCTGACCGCTACACCACTAATGCCGGTCCAATTATCTGGTACTGGAAAATCTACAGGTATATTTGAGAAGTTGCAGGAACATCTCGCTACCTCAGAATTACAAAGTTCTATCTGACATTTTTAACCATTTTGAATTTACAAGACTATGAGATCGACAAACAAATGTTCTATCTGCTCTATCAAATTCATAAGAATGTTCAGTCTCATTAAAAAATTGCATTTGAAAAATCTTGACATGATGTTAAACTCAAAATTTTTTGTTATGTAAAATTTCTCAAAATTAGGTACTCAGCGTATAGAACTTTGAGATTCTGAGGTAGCGATCTGTCTACAGAGCAGCATCAAGCTACACAACAATGTACACTTTCATTTTGTTTTTAGTTTTAGTAAGGGTTTTACGGCACTTGCAACACACAATAAGGTCATATAAGTGCCGAAGATTAGAAGTGTTACAAGAGAGTAACAAACACAAAAAAGAAAGAGGGGAGATAAAGACGGTAGATGTTTGATAGGAAAGAAGAAACAGACCACACCAGAACACCCGCCAACCACCCACACTTTCATTTTGTCTGAGCTAGAGTTTTACAATAACACAACACAAATAGGTCATACAACTCCCTCAGATTAGAGAGAGTAACATGGAAAGAAAAAAAAAAGAGGACAGATAAGGATGAAAGGAGCTTGAAAGGAAAGAAGGAGCAAGTCACACCAGAGCACCCGCCAACCACCCACGACAATGTAGACATACGACGCTGCGCGAGGTGGCTTGAGTGAAAACAGAGAAGGAGGGAGGAAAGTGCGCAGAGACAACTGTGAGTCATTGTGGCAAAATCAGGCACTCGTCCAAATGATAAAATCAAAGAAGCCAGCAATTTTCTGGCCATTGGGCAATTATTAAAGATTTAGGGGATTCTTCAGGCTCAATACCTTTTAAGTCCATCTAAAAAGACACTTCAGCCTGTATTTTAAGTTGATAAATGCACCAAAAAAAACACGAAAATTTGCAGTTTTTAAGGACATCCAAGTTTTAGTGATCATTAAACTCTGACAGCCATTTTGTGGCCTCCGACGCCAGGTGGCCCTACCTAATCTCCTTTAACAACAAAATGATATATAGACTTCTTTTCAAGATGAATGGATATTTCATTCACCAAAAGCAAGCCAAATGAACCAGTAACTCCATATGCCCAAAAATCGACAAGCTCCCGATTCCACAGCGTCGAGACAATTTGTAATTATGGATGTTGTGTTGTTTGACTGTTTAAGTAAAGAGATGCGCAATGACACAATAACTCATTCAGTAAAAATGGTCTAGGTTTAATGCCCCTATCAAGACTTAGATTATTTAAGAGATGGAACCTCCGAGTTTTACATCCATCTCTGAAAAGACCGAGCGAAGTAGGGAAATTCGTGTAAAGTGCCTTGTGCAAGAACACAACGTCCGACTGAGCTGAGGCTCGAACCCCTGAACCCCAAATCTCACGATTACGAGGCCTACCCACTATGCTACTACGTCATTCAGTACAGGGAAGACAAATAGACAGAAACAACAGAGGGAGAGAAAAGAAGTAGGGGACCTACCAGTGGCCCCCCCTCCAACCACCAGCAGAATTTCTCGGACCACAGATGTCCCATTTACAACAACTAAAATATAAAAAAACTATAGAAAACTCCACTAATAAAAACTGGAAATTAGGCCAGGGAAATCTATCAATTATACAGTTATGCCAAAGCTCACTCATTCCAAAAAGAAAAACAAGAGAGGGACAAGTAAGACCAGCCAGCCAGGGGCCACTCCCAGTAACATTCCTTGCTGTCTAATATGGATCACTGTTGAAAAGAAAGATGGACTCTTTCCTTCACCTCTAGTTACCTCACATCTCAATTATTCTGAAAATGCAACCCCCCTCCGACCCCCACCCCCAAATCTCATTTGGATTTGGAGACTACTTCACATTCTTATTTCCACCTTGTGGTTTGTTACATGAAATGAGGAGCCGGAAAAAAAAATGAGCTAAGCAAAGGAATTTTTTTTAAAGAATTTTTTTTTTTTAAAGAGCGAGAAGTAGGCACTACCGGTGATGGCTTAACCTCACCCCACCCGAGATACATCGCTACCTCAGAATTAAAAAGTTTTATCGGACATTTTTGGCCTTTTTGAGTTACTAAGACTACGAGTTCAGAAACCAAATGTTTTATCTGTTCTATCAAAATGGTAAGATTATTCGGAGTCAGTATCAAGATATTCAAAGAATTGCATTTGTAAAAGCTTGATGTGTTGTGAAACTCTAAATGTTTTACGTCAAATTTCACTAAACTAGGTACTGAACAGAGAGAACTTTGTAATTCTAGGGTAGCAACACGGAAACAACAGGAATCAAGAAGGACAACCAGGGTACACGCTGGGCACAACACCAGAAATAGGTCACTCACCTTCTCATCTTTGTCATCCGACACAGTCTTGTTGGGTTTTGTGTAGAACACAGGAGGAGGGGCGTACGGGTCATTTGACGTGTTGTTTCTGGGGACACAGAGAGGGAAAGATACAAGCTACAGAAATGAGATGTTTTCAAAGACTTCTGGGCAGCATCTCCTACAACAGAGATCACGATACAAATAGGGAAGTGAGGAACAGAATCAGACATCTGCCTTCCGTTAACAAAAGCCTTTTTTTCACTTTTGGCGCCACTTTTTTGGGGGGGATTTTCTCAATCAAAAGCATGATCAGTTACCCAACTTGTGAGAAAAAATCTAAGTGAAACTGTGACCTGATATATTTTTTTTATAAATTAGAATTCAAATTTCGGACAACCTCTTTTAAAAGGTTACGCTGACAAAAAGTCACACTCGAAACTGTTGTAAATTTTTAAAAAGGTGTTTTGTCAGCTGAAGGCAGACATGCCACTGGGCCCTATGACGATCTTCTCACCACTGTGGAAAAAACACAAAACCGAGACGGTATGGGCATAAAACAAGATCGACAGTACTTGCAAAGACGATCCTAAAGGACTCTGTTCAAGGAGGGAGAAGGAAAGGCAGAGAGAAAAAGAGATGGGAAGAAAACATAACAGAACAGACAGGTTGAGTGAAGCTCTTTGAAAGGCTGAAAAAAGAGAAGTATGGAGAAAAAATGTAGCCAAATCATCCTTGGTGCCCCAGCAGTCATCTAGATTTGTCAGACTAATAGATAAGTAAATAAATTGTTTCTGAGGACAAAAAAAAGCAGTTCTTACAATATCAGATTGCCACAGCACCTGATGTATTTCTACTCTTCTTTGTTTTCTATTAGTACAAGACTTGCAATGTGGGACTCTCGTGGCCTAGAGGTTATGGTGCTTGCCTCTCATTCCATAGGTCCCGGGTTCAAGTCTGGACAATAATTCTTCTCTAAAATGTTCTCCTTTCACCTCCTTTCCTGCTCTCTAACCATGTTCTGTTGTCTGCTTTCATCTCCACTTTCTGCCCCCTCCCCTTTGCCCCGTCCTCTGGGCTCCCGCCTCTTTCTGCAGCCTTTCTACTGCACATTATAAACTATTTTTAAATGGGAAAAACACTGTAACACCATCAACGCTTTTCTTCTAATTGGTTCCCCCTACAAGATTTTTAAAAAATGGTCAGGGTCATTCCACAAAATCCCTACCTTAGAATTACAGGACATTTTTGGCCTTTTGGAGTTACAACAACCATGAGGTCAGAAACCACATGTTCTATCATCATCATCATCATCAGTGCCTTTCACCCCTGGCAGGGTATGGGCCACATACAAGCTCCTTCCATTTATCTCTGTCCTGGGCCATCCTTCCTAGCTCGTTCCAAGTGAGCTTCATCTCTTCATGTCCCTTTCCACACATCTCCTCCATGTTTCCCGCGGCCTACCCCTGCCTCGTGCTCCCTTAGGGTTCCATTGCAGTGACTGTCTTGTGATGTTTCCGCTGAGCTTTCTGAAGGTGTGTCCCATCCAACGCCACCTTCTTAGTCCTATTTCTACTTCTGTATCCTTTTGTCCTGTCCTTTCCCACAGCTCTTCACTTCTTATTCCGTCTGCCACTTAATAATTAGAATACTCCTCATACATCTGTTGATGAAAGTCTGGACATTATTCAGAACAGTCTTTGTTGTCTTCCAAGTTCTGCAGCCGTAGAGGAGCACAGACTTGACATTGGAATTAAAGAGTCGAATCTCAGTGCGCAGTGAGATGTTGCTTGCTTTCCAGACTTTTGATAATCGCTTGAATGCTGACCTTGCCTAGGCGGTTCTTGCTTTTACATCTGCCTCAGTTCCACCTTTACAATCGACGACACTTCCAAGGTAGGTAAAGGAGTCCACTTCTTCTAGGGGAGTGTCTTCCACTGTCACAGCAGGGCTTGACACGTTTCCTAGCTTCACTACTTTCGACTTGCCCGGGTGTATACATAGGCCAACACTCCTTGATAGGCTGTTGAGTTCCTTGGTCTTTTCTTGAATCTGAGCATGTGTGTGAGAAAGCAGTGCAAGGTCATTGGTGAAGTCCAAGTCATCCAGCTGCTGCCAAGGGATCCATTGTATTCCATTGCGTTTGCCTCAGGTGGCTTCCTTCATGATCCAGTCATTCTGAGAGTGGTCCTTCGTGGAAGACTTGGCAGTTTGTTCCATCATAGGTGGTCTTCACAAGCTTGATGATTTTTGCAGGTATTCCATAAGGGCACATGAGTTTCCACAGAGTTTCCCTGTCCACACTGTCAAATGCCTTTTCATAATCAATGAAGTTGACACGAGTGGTGAATTCCATTCAAGTGATTGTTCAACAATGATGCGCACGAAAGCATCTGGTCCACACATGATCCGTTCTTGCGGAATCCTGCCTGGTTTCCTCTGAGCTTCTCATCTGTTGCCAGCTTGATTCTCTCAAGGAGTATCCTGTTAAAGACTTTCCCAGGTATGGACAGGAGTGTTATGCCTCTGGAGTTGTTACAATTACTGAGGTTCTATCTACTCCACAAAATTGTAAGATTATTTGGAGTCGTTATCAAGAAATTCAAAGAACTGCATTAAAAAGAACTTGACATGTGAAACTCAAAATTCTTTGCGTCAATTTTTAAAAAATTAGGTACTGAGCGGATAGACCTTTGTAATTCTGAGGTGGTGAAGTGCCTCCACCATTTTATGAAGTTTTTAAAATTTGTTCTTTTGGGGTTTTTTTTGTTTTAGTAAGCCTTTCACGGCACTGGCAAAACAATTAGGTCATACAAGTGCCAAAGATTAGAGGTGTTACAAGAGAGTAAACTAACAACAACAAAAAAAGAAGGAGAATAAGGACAGTTAGCAGATGTCCGAAAGGAAAGAAGGAGTAAACCACACCAGAGCGCCCGCCAACAGCCCGCATCAATTCTACAACAAAAAGAATGATTGAGTACTTGCTTGAGTAAAGAGAAGCACATCAGCACAATAAGAGTCATTTAGTGTAGATAGGGAAAAAGCAAGAAAGAAACAGAAGAAGGAAGGAAAAAAGTACGATCTATCAGCGGCGTTCTCACGCACGCACACACCAAACTTAACCCTCTGAACCCTGGCCCCCTGCGGCAGCCAAGCTCCTGCACCTGGTGCCCTATGGCTACCTAACCCCTACATGAAGCGTAATCACCCTCAGAGTGCCACACGGTATATTAGTGAATCACCCTCAGGGTGCCACACTGTATATTAGTGAATCACCCTCAGAGTGCCACACAGTATATTAGTGAATCACCCTCAGAGTGCCACACAGTATATTAGTGAATCACCCTCAGAGTGTTACACGGTATATTAGTGAATCACCCTCAGGGTGCCACACGGTATATTAGTGAATCACCCTCAGGGTGCCACACTGTATATTAGTGAATCACCCTCAGAGTGCCACACGGTATATTAGTGAATCACCCTCAGGGTGCCACACGGTATATTAGTGAATCACCCTCAGGGTGCCACTGGGGTTCACAGGGTTAAACACAAGACAAGACATCAAAACTTACGGGCCGTCCTCTGTGTCCCGATCTGTCAAAGAAAAAGAGAAAGGGAAAGTTACTTCTTCTATCACTAAACTGTCTGTCTGCGCGTTGGTATCAGTAAAAATGACGCAAAGACAAAATATAAGTGTCAGGACAAACTGGAATCAGGCACTCATCAATTTTTCACCCTGTGGAGTTATCCATCTTAAAGTTTGTACATTTATCTCCCTTTTGATTTAAAAAAAATCTATTTATCAAAATCAGAAGTCAAGATATTTGCCACTGAAGGAGGTAGGGGTTGCCTGATTAACAATTTCATTTTTTCAAACAAAATGGATGGTAATTCGACATATTTAAAAACATTAATATAAAAATCATAAGAATACATATCATTTATATAGTGCTCCACCCCAAATAAAGAACACAGTCCCTCTCTGAGCGCTTTACAAAACCTAGGAGCGGCACATAAACAGTACATTGCGTTTCAAAAATCTAGAAATATCTCTAACCTAAACACAATTTTCACAAAAACAGTACATTGCATTCCAACTAAAAATATAAAAATACTTCTATAACCTAAACACAGAAATGACTCGAGCTGACTTTTGAATAAATTGAAAAATCTTATTCCCTTGAGGCGAGTTCCAGATCTTGGGGCCATTACAAGCAAACCAGCTCTAAGGGTCACCTGTTCAGGACAATCACTTGTCCAAATAGCCACTTCCCACCTTGGATTTCGATTTTTTTAAACATTACAACAACATTATCTCAGACCTCCACGTAAGACAACCACTTCATTGCTTTAGTCAGAATTTTACAGCACTTGCAATACGATTAGGTCATAAAAGTGCGGAAGATTAGAGGTGTTACAAGTGAGTAACAAACACGAAAAAGAAGGAGGAGAGATAAGGACCATAAAAATATGTTTAACAGGAAAAAAGGAGCAAACCACACCAGAGCACCTGCCAATCATCCACAACCACTTTACACGTCAGGGATGGGTGGCCGTCTCAGACAATTTCGACAGTACTTACACTTATCCTCCTTGTCCCTCTTGCGGTACCAGCAGAAGTAGACGAGAAGTAGGACAATGACGATCACCCCCAGGACGGCGATCACTATGCCGATGATGGGGCCGATGCCCAACTCCCCAGAGTCCGGATTCCCTTGATTTGGGGCAGGACTGCTTCCTGAAAATTGGTTGGGTTTTGGGGGGGGGTTAGTAGAGGTTTTATGGCATTCACCACTGCATACGGTTATATTGGTGCTAAGGGGTGGATGTCAACAGAGAAGTCCTTACAGGGAATCAGACTTATTCTGCTCACCTCTCTAGCATAAGTAGCACAAAGTCTGCTTCCACCTTCAAGGCACCCAGGAAAAAGGAGGTCACAAGAGTGTGACAAACATACAAAAGAAGTAGAGGAATAATGACGATAGTAAGGATTCGGAGAGAAAAAGCAGCAGTTCCCTGTTGCAGTTTAGGCACAGTTATGAGCATGACATCGATGAATCAGCCCATTTACAATTCTACTGTGTACAAGAACAGCTTAATGTCCCCCCTTTAGCACTGCCCGGGGGGGGGGGGGGCGGGAGAATTGGTGCTGGTGTAAAGTTGGTAGAAGGGACATGAAAAATGTACAAAACTGCAATGGTGAAAATTGGTGTTGGTGTTAAGTTGGTAGAAGGGACATAAAAAAAGTACAAAACTGCAATGTCGTGTAGGTGTTGAATCGGTATCAGAGATAAAGTAAAATGTACGAAAACGCAATGCCGTAAAGTGAGTCACATTTTGTTTCAACTCTCTCTCTGACGAATAGCCCCCATGCTGTGTTTGTCAGAGTAAAAAGAAACTCAGTTTTTGGTTTTTGATAAGAGTTTTATGGCATTTGCAACACAATAAGGTCATAGCATAGAAGTGCCGAAGATTACAGGTGTTATAAGAGAGTAAAAACTCAATACAGAATGAGGGGTGATAAGGACCATGGATGTTTGATAGGAAAGAAGGAGTAAACCACACCAAAGCACCCGTCAACCATCAACAGCAGCACATAGACACATTGAGTCATTTAGTGCAGGGAAAAAAGCAAGACAGATGGACAGTTAAGGCGTTTGAGGCTCAGCTTGGTCCGAATTTGAGTTCTTGGAAAGAGCACTTTACACGACTTTTCCAATTTGGCTTGATCTTATCCGAGGTGGATGATAAGTTTAGCTTGACAACAGTATTACAGCGCTTGTAACTGCATAAACTAGATAATAAATTTGGGGGTCCGCCTCTAAACTCTATAATATAACCCTGAGTAGCTATGGGAACATCTAGTGAAACTCAAGGAGTTTCTGAGTGGACGGTCCCAGCATCCGGTCAGATCACAGGGTGCATGAGGCATTACTCAAAATTACTGCTAATGCAATCTCTTGTGAATCCAAACAGATTTATTTTGACTTGGAAGTGTCAGAGAAATGTATAAACTACTTACTCTTTCCCTTTAACACAGTATTACCCTTTATGAATATTTTACGTGTATCCCCCGTTACGTCTTTCACGAGATCAGGAAAAATTTCCGTCAATACATGGCAAGTAATTCTGGGTTTAAAGAGTTAAATATCCCAACAGTGTTGCAAGGAGCAATAAACCTGTGCAATATTTTTTTACATCGATAGGAATGACAGAGGATTTATAAGAACAGAAGTAGGACCTTCCAGAACCACCTTTGACCCCATCCTCATATATATGTAGTGTTGGTATTTCAGAGAACAAAGCATAATCCTCC